AATTTTTTCAATTCAAATTTTTTTGATTGATTCTGTGCCCTATCGTTTTCTTTACTCTGTTGATGTTCACTGGGTATAGCGCAATGGCCTATATTTCTTTGTAGGCCTTGAATTTTCCAATGTTCTGATGAAACTAGGTTAATTTATGGAAAAAAAAACATCTTAATTTGATCATTTGGAGCTGTACAACATTTTACCCCCAGTGGTAGTCAAGCTCTTTTGCTCCCTTTATATTAGATTTAGTTGGAACTTCTGAAGGTCATCATCAATTTAGCTGGATATATAGGAACCGGTTTTAAAATCTGCAAACTTGCAGTTTAATTTTGTAAAGGATTCTTAGTCATTCGAAATGTAGGCCAGCTCGAAATTTCTCCACGTGCCACACGTCCAAATTTTGATTTGGAATATCAATGTATATGGTTTATAGTGCGGATATCTATTCGCATTATTCAGGTTTCCTATCGATAATGTCTAATTATACTGATTTATAAGGTCTTGGTTAGTTGCTGGAGAATAATATAAGCATGTCGAATTTTTCTATTTAGAAGATGTTGAACTGTGATTAGGGATAATTATACCTGAGTATAAGCAGAACAAAGTTTGTGATTGTCATTGCGTGAAATTAAGCTTTTGCTAAAATACTTGACTGTTTTGATCTCCTAGTTAAACTATGTTTCATTGTTGTTAGTAGGGCTGCACAACTTTTGGATAACCAACCGAAACCGACCGAAACCGAATTTTCGGTTTCGACCGAAACCGAAACCGACAAATTGGTTCGGTTATCGGTTTTAAGTTTCTCAATTTTTCGGTTTTCGGTTCGGTTTGGTTACAATCCGTCGGTTAACCGAACCGAACCGAAAACCGATATTATATAAGTTGAAAAAGGCCCAGTATATATTATTCAATCCAATTGCCATTAGTTAACGGGCCGCCCACCACAAAGCACTAAGCAGGCCCAATTTATTACTCCAATAGTCCAATTCCATTGACAAAGCAGATATTATCCTCCAGGAACAAATCGTCTCTCACGGTCACTCATCGTCTCATCCTCCAGAAAACCCCACCTAGCACTGCACTTCTCCGCCCGTCCGCCGCACGGTGCACAAAATCACCCGCTCCATCTCCCTTTGCTCGGCGTCGGCGCATAAAATCGCCGGAATTTTGAAATCTCACATCGCCTCGCTCGGTCGTTCTTGCTCCCGCACACACTCCACCCCGCAGGCCGTCGTGACACTCGTCTTCTCAATTGAGTTCGCCACCCAAATCCCCTCGTAAGGGCTGCAATTCAGATTCGTAATTTTCTTTTCTGGCTTTGAATCTCTCATTCTTCTTTGGGCCTGTGAGTCGTGATTCATTGTACGGGTTGCACCCACCCAATTTGAGCTCATATTTTTTTGGGTTAATTCTTATGCCTATGATTTGAGCTGTACGGTTGTGGCTTGTGGGTTTCCAAATTGTTGTGACATACTGACATGTTGAACCAATCTGCTTCTGTGACCTACTGTAATACTAATGAAAAACTTGATTTTTTTGATGGGCTTGCTCTTGAATTGAATAGGATTCTGAATTTCAGATGATTTCTGAGAGTTTTGCATTTATTGAATACTGATTTATTGGAGACAATCTGTATCTATTGTTATTTGTAAATTTTATTTTTGTCATTTCTCCATTTTGTTGGATAACCGATAACCGAACCGAAACAACCGATAAATTTTCGGTGTCAAACCGAACCGAACCGCAGTTTTTGGTTCGGTTTTCGGTTTTAATATTGGTCGAACCGAAAATTCGGTTAACCGAATTTTCGGTCGGTTCGGTTCGGTTTTAACCGATTGTGCAGCCCTATTCTTGATAATTCAATAGTGCTCGATTGTTTTGGATGGAACTGATTTGTGTTGATTCTAAAATTGTGGTTTGTTTCTTAGCTTGCAAAAAAAAAATATATTATAATATTAAATAAAAAATCTTATTTACACGGCTTATAAGAATCCTATTTATTTCGGAGTTGGAGGGAATCGGTGTAAGCAAAAATAATTTTTATCCGAACCAAAAGTCGAAGCATGTAATGTTGCCAAGTAAGTTTTCAAAGCGTGCGACCCAGTCATTTAGGCTAAACACGTTTTGACACTATATTAAAGGGGGAAGGGGATTGAGTGAGTATGAGAACAAGTAGTTGAAAGCGGTTATGTTTTTTATTTTTTAATTAATGTTTCTTTAAATTAAATAGACAAAATAATTGGATCGTATGAAAATATAACTAGTATTAATCATGTGCACAATAAATAAATATTATATATAAAAACCTTAATTAAAATAAAAATTTATATAATAATATATATCATATTTATAATTAAATCGTTATATTAATGACTTTTAGTCGGATTTTTATACTTTAATAAAAAAGAACAATAATTTTTTTTGTCATAATTAACCCCTCCAAAAAAGAGCGGGAAATGAAAAATTTAGCATTAATGGGATAGCCCCTAATTATATTTATATAGATTGATTATGAAAGTCTACTTGATTAGAAGAAAAGATTTAATTTTTAAAAATTATGACTACATAGACAGCTGGATTAAAACTAAAATATGAACATGATACTATTAAAAATTCTATAGAGTCATTCATAACTTTATATACTCACACATATCCAATGTGTATTTATTGCAGGACACTTCTCAATGCATCATTTGTAAATAACTATGAATGGCTCCATAGCAAAATCGATGATACAATATATTGACCAAAGTACGAGTATGATACAAAATATGAACACGGGACGATTAGAAAACACGGTTGTAAAGATAGGATTATACGATGGACACAAGATACGAAAGAATAAAATAAATATTTTAGTTCAATTTAGATTTAATGTGATACTTGTGATTAAAAACAAATAAAAGCATGAAGTAAAAAACTTAGTGAAATTTGATTTAGTATAATTAGTTATAATTAAATAAAATTGGTAAATAGGTAGTATAACATGAACACACAATATAAATATTCCAATCAAATAAGATATTTTGCATGTAAATTGAAATTAAAAGGCAAAATTGTTTTGCTATTCATATTTTCCTTAGACATAATAATATTATAATACTACAATATCCATTAAAATCTCTCCTTTTTGTTTTCTGGATATAAACCGATAAAATACCAACCAAACGCAACGCGGTCGTTACTAAACCTCTTTTTCCTGCACAATTTTATCACNATAAAAAAAAATCTTAATTTTATCTTGGAGAGAATGAAGGCTCTGAATTCTACAACAGCATCAAAGATTCAATTTTGCAACAGTTTCAGTTTCAGAAATCGATTTTCCTTTACGAACAATTCGATTCTGTACAGTTCTTGCAATTGTAGAAATGGCGGCATGCTCACACTCACTCTCTCATTCAGCAGCAACAAGACCGTATTTTCTAAGCTCAAAACCTCCGAAAACCAGAGCAGAAAAAAGGGCAAGAAGGCCATCTTGCAAGTGCCCACGACGACGAAAATCGAGGCGCCGGAGCCCGGCGGAACCCCGGTGGATGCGGGCGGCGGAAGTGGCGGAGGTACCGTGAATCCGCCTCCGTCTGCGGCGGAGGGATGGGGCAAGAAACTGGGTTCCTTGGGTTTAAAGGGTTTTCCCAGAAAAGTGTTGTCCGTCCTTTCCAATTTGCCCCTGGCTATTGCCGAGATGTTTGCAGTGGCTGCACTTATGGCTTTAGGTATTGTACCTTCATTTTTTATTATTATTATTATTTAAAAACAATTAATCAGGTCTTCAAATTTTTCTTCCCCTTGCTGAATTATGAGTTAAAATGGAGGTTACACTTATAATAGATGTGTTGGGTTCACTTGTACCGTACGGGTTAGCGGAAAAATTGTTTCGAAAACAAATATTTATCCTATAAATACTCAACCCGTAGATACATATACCGAATAAACAGATCGTCATCATTTAAAAACACGTAATAATACGAATTTTGATTTGTAATAAGTAATTTTGAAAATTATCTTTTATCTTGAACTCCTTCTTTATGACGATGATTGAGGAAATCAATTTCCGGTTATATATGACTTTCACCGTCTCTTTTTACTCACCCGAAGGATTCAAGTGTCTCCCCTCTAAAAGTATCCATCCTTTTGTAATTCAATCTTGAGAACTCCAAGTGTCTCCCCTCTAAAAGTATCCATCCTTTTGTAATTCAATCTTGAGAACTAGTTTCTTCGCTAGTAGAAACTTCTCGATTTGGTCAATTAGTATCGAAATATTTATTTTAGAGGATATTATAATTTTAATCTTTATTAAAATTCTCAAGAACTATTCTTGATATGAAAATAATTCTCAAAGTTCAAGAACACTTCTTGATTTACAACTCTTGTGATTTTTCTCTCTCAATTTTCTTGTTAATACACGTTTGTACGTGTACATCACATATGTAGACCTATTTATACTAAAACATTTAGATCACAAGATGTCATCTTGTATTTTAAAATCATTATTTTAATCAAATTAGATGGCATCTTGATCTAAATGATTTTAATAATAAAAAATATCAATAGATCCCATCTAATCATATTTTATTATTATTTTAATCTTTAATCAAATTAAAGATTAAATATTATGATTTATAATTTCTGAAAAAAAAATAATCTATCAAAATATATTATTTCTCATATTTATAAAATCTTCTCTTATTATAATCATATTATAATATGGATTTGAATTTTAAAATCTAATTTTAAAATCCAACTATTAATTTAGTAATTCCATTAATTACTTAATTAATATCTAAAATATAAGTAATCAATCAAATTGATTAATTTAGTATATTCATTTAATTGATATCTAATCAAAATTAGAATTAATTAAATAATCAAATTATTTAATTAATACTTGTCAATTAATTCTAACTCTTTAGAAATACTAATTTCAAATGATCTACATTCAAAATTGGGTGTGACCTTTTAGGTTCACTATTAATACTAGTAGTGGGTTTACAACTCCTTGTAATTTGAATTAACCAAATTAATTCTTATTCTTTGAATTAACTCCTTAATTCAAGAACCCACATATCATGGGAACATCTAGCAAGTAGCATGAATTTAGTATTAAGTGAATAGCGAGTAAACCTTTTCGATTACAAGTCCATACATGTAAAATCCTTTCGACATCCAATTTCTCGATTAAATCTTGGGTATGATTTAGTCGAAACTCAAATTGATTTAATAACTATGATTCCATTTGAAATGTTTAGTAATTCATATATGAATCTCTATTCATCCCGCCTTGGCCAAGGACTTTGAATTACAAACTATGAAACACATAGGAAATTCACTTATCTCATAAATGTCGAATCCTTTGTTGGCCACTGACAAACTTCCATTCATATTAATATAATACCCAAAATATCCCTTTATACGACTGTGCTATCAATGAAAAGGATAAATCAAAGTAAAATATAATGTGTATAAAGTTACTATCGTGCCTCAAGTCTAAGGATCAATCATGTACTATTGTAACATAAAAATTCTTATTCGACATAATAAACTTCCATTCAGATTTTTCATACTGAACTTGTTCTCTAACAAGCACCCACATATATGTATTTGCGACCCACGCTAATGTTGATGGAATGCAACATTCTTGTCAAACAAGTATACATCATATGTACAAGTTTTTCCGGATTATTTGATATCCCATCTCGAAATATCCAACGACTTGAAACTGTATTTAAGATCACAGCTTTAAAGATATGTTCCATGATTACCATCAAATGCGCAACCATGCCTTATAGCCATTAATGATCTAAGGACTTTATCATATGTGCAAATATAGGATAAATGCAAAGACATAAGATAAAACAATGCCTTAATAATATAATTCCAATAAATTGTTTTTACAAGTAGAAATAAATCCAATCTGATTGGAACGCCGGGTATTCTACTCCAACAAGATGGACTCTAGTTAGATTATCTTAATGCTGCATTGTTATAAATGTGGAATTTTTTTCTAATATTGCATCAAGTTTTTATTTTTTGTCATTTTGTTTAGTTCACTTTTCATTTTTTTCTTTTACCTGGCATTCAAGAAAATGTAGGATGAGTATTTGTTAGTTTGTGCAGTTTTTCGGTACTTATGGGTTATTACATTTTTTTCGAAAGGAACTTTTGTTGAACAAGGTGAGGCACCAGATTTCTACTTTCAGAAGTACCCTGAAGATAATCCGGCCTTCGGATTCTTCACGTGGAGATGGATTTTCGCGCTTGGACTCGATCATATGTTCTCATCTCCGACATTCTTGATAACTTTATCTCTATTAGGAGCCTCGCTCATGGCTTGCACATACACGACACAAATTCCCTTAGTGAAGGTAGCAAAAAGGTTCGTTCGATGTTTAAATGACGTTTTTGTCATTTATCCCTGATTGTTATCCTTGGTTACATGTCTCCTAAAGAATTAAGATAACAAAGCCTTCATTTTTGCCTTTTTTTTTTCTTTTTTCTTGCTCTTTTTTTAATATTTCAGGTGGTCCTTCCTACATTCAGCTGAGACAATTCGTAAGCAGGAATATTCGGATGATTTACCAAGAGCTTCTATTCAAGATTTGGGTGTTATTCTGATGGGCTCTGGTTATAAAGTATAATGCTTATCTTTGTCTTCATCTTTACTTATTTGTGCTTACGCATTTTTTGTTTTCCTATTCTGAATTCTCAATGGCTTTGCTTGTTTGCTTTGCTTCATTTTCCTTTAAATTGTTTTTTTTTTCTTCCTTGTGCGAGGTTGGCTTAACTAAGATTTATGCCCTGTTAGTATCTTTGCTTTTTTCCGTGAAATTGGACTAACTTTCACACATATTTGTAATCTTAATCATTTGGTTTTGACAAGGGCTGCAAACGAGCCGAGTCGAGCCGAGCATTGGCTTTATCGAGCAAGATTGTTTATTTTTACCCGAGCTCGATTTATGACGCTCGAGATTGACTCGACAAAAGAAGAAAACTGCTCGAGCTCGGCTCGAGATCGATTGAAATCAAAATCCTCAAAAGATTGCTCGAGTTCGACTCGAATTTCAAGTAAAATTACCACATAAATAAAATTATAATATTTATATATAAGGGGTATTTTAGTAATTCATGACATATCTCGAGTCGCTCGCGAGTTGCTCGGTTCGTTTGCAGCCCTTTTGACTTCATGTAAATCTCTAGTCTTTTAGATTCTGCAGCTCACATTAAAAGAGAATTTCGTTCTTTACTATAACATACCAGATAAACACAATCCTTTTTTTTTTTTTATTCTGATTAAGGTATTCCTAAAGGGGCCAACTTTATATGCCTTCAAGGGGCTAGCTGGTCGGTTTGCACCCATTGGAGTACACTTAGCTTTGCTGCTAATAATGTGCGGTGGGACCCTCAGTGCCACCGGAAGCTTCCGAGGCTCTGTTACGGTCCCTCAGGGCTTGAACTTTGTTATAGGCGATGTTTTAGGCCCCACTGGATTTTTATCCACACCTTCCGAATCTTTCAACACAGAAGTTCACGTAAATCGTTTTTACATGGACTATTATAACAGTGGAGAGGTAAAAGAACTTCAGTTTTTGAGGATTAAATTTAAGGCAAAAATGTATTTTTAGTCTTATTGGTTTAACGTCATAGCAATTTTAGTCCCTAAGATTCCTTTTGGTCCTGTGAGTTAATATTTTGATGCAATTTCAGTCCTCAAAAGGACTGAAATTGTAACAAAATCTTAAATTACAGAACTGAAATTACAATAAAATTTTAAATTACAGAACTTAAATTGCTAATCGAGAATATGGGAAATTGGGAATTTGCAGTAAAATATTAATCACAGGACTAAAAAGCAAAATATTGGAACCTTGACACTAAAATTGCTATGGCGTTACACCACCAGGATTAAAAATGCAATTTTGCCTAAATTTAAAATTACACTATTAACTTCGATTTAAGATTTAAATTTATCGATTNATTTTTGCCAGGTTTCTCAGTTTCACAGTGATCTTTCACTTTTTGACATAAACGGGAAGGAGGTAATGAGGAAGACAATAAGCGTGAATGACCCTTTGAGGTATGGTGGAGTTACCATATACCAAACGGACTGGAGTTTATCGGCATTGCAGATAATGAAGGATGATGAAGGCCCGTTTAATTTGGCTCTGGCGCCATTGAAAATCAATGGGGATAAGAAGCTTTATGGGACATTTTTGCCCATTGGAGATAATTCTGAGTCGACTAATCTTAAGGGAATGTACGTGCCCTTTTACTTGCCGAGTTATCATATGAACTAACACAACAAAATTTAAAAAAAAATAAAAATTGCAACTTTGCTTATTTGTGAAACTTGCTTAGAGTTGCTCAATGTAAAATCAAGGTTTTAAGGCTATGTTTGGTAAGCATAATTTAGCTTATTGCTTATTTGATTAGCTTATAAGTTTCATGTATTCAAATAAGCTTTGTTTGGTAGGACGGGTTTTTTTAAAAAGCTCGAGCTTATCCATAAGTTTCATTGGGTAGCTTTTCAAATAAGCCAATTGAAATTTTTATTTCAGCTAGCTTCTTATTAGCTAATTTTACCTAACATTTTTACCATATAAGTTAGCTTTTCAGCCATAAGTTATAAGCTATCAGCTATAAGCTTGAAATTCACTTATCAGTTATAAGCTAGCCTACAATCATTCTAGTGTATTGATACTACTTTGGTGCTTTTAAAATATAA